AAGTTTCAGCCCCGTAGCTTTTGCCGGTCTCGAGATGAAAAATCGGTACCGACGAACACACAGACACACACAGACAACCTCTCGTCAGTATGCGTTTTCTGCATTGCATAGATGCAAAAAACGCATAAAAAGTGATTTTCACTTTGTTCATTTGCCATGCATGAAACTGATGGTATTAGATTAGAATGGAAACAGTTGGAATTTATGCCCTCTCGACGGCTATTCTTTTTTTTTTTTTTTTTCTTGATGGGAATCCAAATTTCTTCATCAGCTTGGAAGCGCCTTTTTCTTGATCAGGATTTGTCCGCAGCACCAAAGGGCTTTAATCTGCAAGCAACTGGCTTGCCTGTTTTTGCAAACGGTTGTTATGATTGGCATTGTTAGTGTTTGCTGAAATTCATTTTGCAGAAGCGGCTCGTCTGGCTGAAATCCTTGAATGGATCAAGATGGAGCATTTGTTGCAGCGATGCAATGGTTTGGATACTCCGGTTGAATGGGATTGGTATGTCTTTTTTGTTTGGAAGCTGGCAGGACCGGTTGAAACGCGAAAACAACACTGTGCTTAGTGTACTCAAAGTTCCTGAATTAATTCAGGTCGGAAGCACTGTCACCCGGAGAGTTGCAGAGGCTCTCAATAGGCCGAGTGTTGTATCATCGTCCACGAATAGCATTTTTGGATGAAGCAACGAGTGCCATCGGTTTTGAAATGGAAATGTCGCTTTATCGTCTGTTGCAGGAGGTAAATGCTTCCTCATTTTTAGCAGCAGATTCTGGTAGTGAAGTGACACTAGAATCATTATTCCATACAATGGACTGGGAATGCTGGGAGATAGTTTCGGACTGAAAAAAACACCCCCTTCAACGATCAGCGGATAGGACGCGTGCTACTTGTCTCTTATACTGCGCATTGATGTATTTTACATCCTCGATGAGTGTGAAAAGCAGATGATATTTTGACTTACTTTCAGGAGCGTATCTCATATGTGTCTATTGGGCATCGATTTTCGCTAAAACAGTATCATGACATGGAACTACATCTAAATGGGCATGGTGTCTGGACTTTGAATGATATCGACTCGGCGGAAATCAACAGTTCTGCTACCAGTTTTATTAATAATCAAGCGATGCTCTCGATGTGAGCAATGTGTATGCGAGAATTCTTTACAGTTTCCTCGAATCTGAATAAATCTCATCTTTTCCGGTTAGAGGAAGTTAAAAATGCGGGCGTAAAAATCATAGCGAGCTGAAAGTAGTTAGATAACATGAGGAAATTAGAAGACATGAAAAAAAAGGGAAAAAAAATGTATGAATATACCGATAAAATCTGGAGTGAATATGGGCATGTGATGTTTGTTTTTTCGACTTCAGGTTTTAAAGATCAAGCTAGGGGAGCACGAAAAGATAGAGGGGCAAGCTACAAATGAGATCTAACTGCTTTGATGAAGCCAAAGGCAAAAATACTTGGGTGCTTGAATAAGTCTATGGATAAAATAGTCCCCATCTGATTTGATAAAACTAGGAACAGATATTTTTCTTATTTGATAACACTTATGTCAAAAGAGACTTGCTTGAGGTGCGGAGTAGCAGAGCTGCTAGCTGATGGCTTTTTAGCGAAGTTGTATTTTTGTGTTTCTTTATTTAAAAATCTGTATCTGAATCTGTTTGTGCTTCTTCCCATATATCAGAATGCCGGCATACTTTTAATGCTGTTGTAAATGTAGTGGTTCATACAGCCGATTGATTCTGATACCAGTTATATTGATTTTTTGAATGAACATGTGATCTGCGGACTTTCATTTTTTACTTCCTCTTGGGTGCTTATTTTCTTGCTTTTTCCGATTTTTGTCTTGTTCCAGGTCTCATTGTTTATGTAGCCCTTGCATTTCATTATCTTGTTATCTCGCTGTGATTTGTCTGGACTTTCGACCATCTTCATTGTCCAGTTTGAGTAAAACTCACCCTCAACTTAAGGGTAATTTTGAGCTTTCAAAAAAGGTTCATGGAAGAACCAGCCTAAAGTCAGTTCAGATTTCAGTCTCGTAATGCAGATGGCAAAAAGAAGAGTTTTTCTTATCCATGTTTTTTTCTTCATCATGATGCATCAGTTATGCTGTTTGCAGTGGTCGCGAAAAATTAGCCCATTACAGCCCGATAATCCAGTCTTTTCTGGACTGAGTGATGAAAGTGAAGGGGGAGAGCGTGAGGAAGTCGGAGGGTGTGGAACTGTATTTTAAAATTATCCCGATATAAATTTCACTGCTACATTTATAGCAGACTGTCTGGAGCAGCAACGACGGCAGTTTATTTCCTGGGTATTGTGCTCGTTTTTATGCGTTTTTTGCAGCAATGCAATGCGAAAGACGCATATTGACGAGAGGTTGTCTGTGTGT